CCTCTTCCAGTCAAGTCTCTTTGTTGTCCAGCTAAGTTCCAAGCAATCTGAAAACCCTTGACAACGCCCCACACTCGGGCACTTTATTAAGGTTACTGGATTAAATTACTAGGTTGATCGAAACGATCGAACTTGTAAAACAGTATGGGTATACTATTTAATTAATATAAAGGTTTGATCCAACTAATCTGGTGTCAAAGTCACTGTCTTTTTTCGTTTTATGGTTTTTGTTTCGCTTTTTGTCTTTTTGCTCGTGTTTTTGTCCCCCTAGTTGCCCCCCTTTACTCGGTTAGCTAAGCCTCGTTCGGAGAGCATACCAGGAAGTTTTCTTGAGTTTTCTTAAAAAGCTATCACGGTACAACCGGAAGGTTTGCACGTTCCTGTCGAACCGTACCGCCGGTACTCTAGAATGGGCATTCAGCCCGAAGCTGTCTCAAGTGGGTTCGACTCCGTAGTCTTGATGTCGTAAACACCCAGCAGCGCCATAAAAACACTATGTAACATTCGTCTACTGCAGTCACACATGAGGCTTAAGAAAAATAGGCCCTATAACCATTGGCTCAAGAGTCAGGGACACTATCTCTTGTGTTTTTGTACCTCAAATCAGTCGGAGCCAATTCGGTTCGCTTGTGACATGAGACTACGACCCGTTACAGCTTAAAGGCTACTACTAAAATATCCCCCCACTCTAGAATTAGAAACGTCCCCATACTTAGGTCTCTAGATACCCAAAATACATGAACGCCGTTAAAAACCGGGTTGGAACAATCCGTTAAGTTACTTTTTATTAGACAGTAGAACTTTGATCCATTTCAGATGGATCAACCTAAAACTCGCCTTACCTCAACATAACGATCATAAAACACACTCTAGAAATTTAAATTAGTACTCACATTGTAGCACGCTCAAGAACCAGGAAGTAAATAAGTCGGTAAGCAACTCAAGAATCAATAAAGCAACTAAAATGAGTTTAATGTTAGTCAGTTTCAATAACAAGAACAAGTTTTTACTCTAGACTGTAAGTTCTCGTGAACCATTGGGACACTCTAGCTGTCCACCTTTCCACCGAAGGTTCACTCTGGTCCAGTTAATAATAGTACTCCAGTCACAACAATCCAGTTCGTGGGAATGCGCTCGTCTCTGTTTCAGATGGGACAGCTCTACTCTCGATTATTATTGCTACTGAAATTGCGAATAGCAATTTCCCACTGATTTTTCTAGCAACTTTCCCGCGATTGTCACTCGATCGTTCTGACTTCTCTTTTCTGATTTTCAGTTATAGCGAGAAAATCGTGCATGACATGTTCCATTCGAAATTTTGAAAAATTAAATTTCACTCCAAAATCAAGTGTTTTTTTGCTTCTCTCAAGGTCAAACTTCCGAATATGACCGACTGGCACATACTCCCCGGACTCGAGATCGATGTCCTCATCGCGTGCTGTCTTCTGCCAGTGAGTCCCAGAAAACCGAGTGTTACTCAAGATACAGTGCCAGTGGTCATTTACAGAAGTTTGCAGCAGACTTAAGCTTATCTACACCCCAAAATTCACAGCCATGTAAAATTTTCACACTATCGCTAAACAGTAGATGCTGGTCATTTTGAAGCGACAGGGTGAGCTCAGTTTGTAGACATTCGATTTTGATTTTGTTTGACGGCGTGGGCTGCCGTTGTTGTTTTAATTGAAGTGTATTTAACTTCTTGATGAGGTTTGAAGAGTTGCCACCTACCGATGGAGCCAGTTGGGACCTATGTTTCGTAGTTAGTGAAAGAAGATCCTTTAAAATTTCGTGTAGCCACTTAAACCAAAGTTCAACCATCAAGTCCACGTTGCTCATGCAGTATGGTCGGAAGGGATGTTGGAGAATGAACTCATTAATTTCTTTCCAGTTAGCTTTCTTTTATGCAAATATACCGAAGTCTAGCTTTTGTTTGGGAGACGGTGAAGAGATATGTACAGGTCGGATGTCAAACGAGACTTTAGCTTGATAAGGTTTGTGGTAAGAATTGAAGAGACTTCTCAGATGGTTATCAATGACTATGCTTGTCACATACTGGGGTTTATTGCATAAGAGAACATCCAGTGACCTTCCGTCCCAAAGTTCCACTGTCTAATAAAAAGTAACTGTGCCGATTGTTCCGACCCTGTTTTTAACGGCGTTCGTGTATTTTGGGTATGTTGAGACCTAAGTATGGGGACGTTCTTATTTTCTAGAGTGGGGGGGGGTATTTTGGTAGTGGCCTTTAAGCTGTAACGGGTTTTTAGTCTCATGTCGCAAGCGAACCGAATTGGCCCCGACCGTTCGAGGTAGAAAAACACAAGAGATAGTGTCCCTGACTCTTGAGCCAATAGTCATAGGGCCTATTTTTCTTGAACCTCATGTGTGACCGAAGTAGGCGACTGTTACACTAAGATGCGTCCGCTCTAGTAAATTTCTTTTTTTTTTCAAATTGACTGGTACTGCTAATGCGTCATAATTGGCTTGCGTTCTTTAACAATTATGTAGACTCATAATTGGCTTGCGTCACTTAAGAAATTTTGTAGACTCCAAGTTTTAATCATTCAGTTTTTCTCAGTAGCGTTATCGGTCATGTTTTGCTTGTGTATGCGAAGTGCAACTTCGCCTCTGTGTTAAAATTATATTCCTAGCTGGCATGTTTTCCTCAAAATGTAATTTTTCCAGACAAACTAAATCAAATATATGACTAAAGTTCTAGTGGTTATTTCAGTGAAATGTTCAAATTCAATTTCGAAAACTCCGAAAGTGAATGCAATTGGAATGCCAAAAAACCGGAGAAATCCACTTGCATGGTTCCTCTGATTGTTCATACACCTCACATGCACTCCAAAATAGAAAATGATGATGTCTCAAGTCTGAAGTTAAAGGAGGGACAAGAAATGTTTTTCTTCAAAAATAAGGATTGCAATGACTACAAGTTCAGTTTGCTGCCCAATGTTTATGAAGGTGGCTGCGAGCTTTGGGAGAGCACAGTAGATCTGCTTAATTTTCTATCGAGGAACAGAAAACTCATGGAAAACCAGACAGTACTTGATCTAGGGTGTGGCTCAGGCTTATTGGGAATTTTTGCACTTCAAATGGGTGCTGAAAAAGTGATTTTTCAAGATTTTAATGCTAAAGTTATAGAAAATTATTTGTTTAAAAACATCAAAATGAACTTCAGTCTAGATTTTGCCCAAAAGTTTGAAAGATGTAAGTTTGTGAGTGGCGATTGGAATGATGCAAACCTGGTTCATCAGCTATGTAAGCCAACTATCATCCTGAGCAGTGAAACATTGTACGATATCTCTAGCTACGACGCTTTGATCTGTTTGTTTGAAAAAATTCTTGCTCTTGGGGGCAAAGTATTTTTAGCATCTAAATTATATTATTTTGGCGTTGGTGGCTCCGTTGATGCTTTTATCGAGCGTTCGTCTAGTATTTTTTCATCTGAAATAATTTATACAGTAAGTGATTGTGGAGTTGGTAGAAGAATTCTTTTGTTGCAACGTAAATAGTATTCTCAATTCATATTTTTAGAGTCAAATTATAAAACAAATTCTCGCTCATCGCTAACAGTTAACATGATTAAGAGTTTTCAGATAACTATGAGAAATATCCTCGAGGTTTTTAACAGTAATATGCTGCAAGGCTTCCATGCTCTGGTGACCGGAGGAGCTGGAGGGATCGGCAGACAAGTTGCTATTGATTTGATTAAGTTGGGCTGCAAAGTTTCGATTACTTCCCGAAAAGAATCCAAACTTGACAATGCTGTTGAATACATCAGGCAACATGCATCTAAGGATTTGCTACGAGGTTCTCTCGGAAACGTTAAAAGTGAATCTGACGTGAAAAACATAGTCAAATCTTCACGTGATCACTTTGGACCAATCAATATTCTTATTAATTTAGCCGGAGGACAGTTTCTGTCAAAAGCGGAGAAGATACCCTTAAAAGCCTGGAAAGCAGTTGTTGACTCTAATTTAACGGGATCTTTTTTAATGAGTCAAAACGTGTTTTTGGCCGACATGAGGGGTTGTGGAGGAAACATTATAAACGTTACTTCAGCTGATATGTCCACAGGGACCATTCCTGCAATGAGTCATTCGTCCGCGTCAAGGGCAGGTGTAGAAAACTTAACAAAAAGCTTAGCGCTAGAGTGGGCAAAATACAAAGTTCGAGTTAACTGTGTAGCCCCTGGGCTTATTTATACGGATTTAGCCGAGTCGAATTATAGAGTCCCAGTGTTCGAGAAATTCAAAGACAGTGTACCGATTGGTGCTTATGGTCGTCCAGAGGATGTTTCTGGAATAATATGTTTTCTCTGCTCTCCTGCAGCTGCGTTTTTTACCGGAGAAACTATTAGAGTTGACGGTGGATCAAGTATATACACTAGCTTATGGAGAGATTCCACGGATATATTTTCCAAGCTATAGATTTGCTGATCAATACCTATGGAGTTTGTTTTAATTTTAGGAGATCGAATTTTCTAGTTAAGAAGTAACCCCTCTTGAAAAGTGAGAAGGAACCACGTGTTTTTTCTCTCCCCAATTCGGGCAATCTCAAAGAAAGCTTTCAGGGGACTGAGTGTGGTATCAAATTCAAGCCTTTTAAGCCGTGGTTTGGGTTCCGAAAAAAATTGTCTCATTGTAGATAAAAACTGGTCTATATTCTTTCGTTTTCCAATTTAAATCAGACAGGAATTTGATTAGAGGACGACCTCGAAATCTGATTATACTAAATTTTTGTTTCCGCAGATAGCGCGAAGCTCTAGTTAGCCTATCTTTTTAAAGCTAATTTCCTTTAACGCTAGCCAAGAAAACGCTTGATTTTTGCCCCACATTGTGATGCTTGAAGTACCGCATCTGAATACTGTGTACTTTTTGAATGGTATACGGTTGCCCTTTATTATCTTCGTGGTTTTACTTGTCTCTGTTTAAAAGAGTTTCAATTTGTTGAACAGATGGTTCTCCGTGTGACAAAACTATGATTGGAAGTGTTGTTTTTTCAGGTATGATTGATAATGGAAACCGAGGTAACCGCAGTTTTACGGGACATAAATCAGCTCCATTTAGATGTGCAATCGCAGCTTCAACAAATCAGAGCAGAAGTGAGTTCTAAAATTGACCTTGAAGAAGTGAACTTCGAACTGCGGCAATGTTTTCAACAGTATGAATCAAAACTGAGCGAGTTGCGCATTTTTGCAGAAGAATTGGACGACAAAAAGAAACGCGATGAGCTGAATCAAGATTACCTTTCTTACAAGAGCCAACTAACGACTTTAAGAACAGCTCTCAGAAAGGCGAACGTGCAATGTCACCAACGGATAGACAACGAGACAAGAGAAGCTCTATTGTCCGGTTCAAATTTGTCTGGTCTAGAAAAGAGTAATAAAAATAGAATATCAATGCAGAGGCAAAGTAGAGACATTACTGAGAATTTGACGGCTGTGAGTCGCTTGCTTGCAGAAGAGGTTAAGAAATCGGAGAGAACTGTGGAATCGTTAGCGGGGTCTTCAAATAGTGAGTCGAGTTTTCAATGTGTTTTTTTTATGCTCATTTTATGGATCTAGGTGGTTTCGGTGTTTTTAAGAGTCAATGAACGCAACGATTTGTCAGTGAGCGCGGTAGAAAAGTCTTAAAATGCTCTGTAAACTACAGAAGTTCGTTCATGCATTTTATTGCATTTATGAATGCAATTGGGCATATATAGCTTTTAACAATTTTATCGAACAACTTCTTTACCTTGGTTCATAAAGAATTCAAAATTTGCAGTGTCTCTTGCACGCTTAGTCTGGTGGTAACGAATACGCCTGGGACGGCAAAGGTCCTGCGTTTGAATCTGACCAGGACCAGTTTTTTTCAAACCGGTTCAAAAAATTTCGTCCTATTATTTGTCGACTTAGTTCCGACATCTAAGAAGCGTTTATTCTAGCTGAAAACAATTTTAACTGCAGTTGTTTTTAGCATTTTAAAAATCCGGCCCAATCAAAATTTGCTTTTCATATTGGTTGTATTAACTGTTTGAGATAAAAACAACTACTTGAGATGGTAAAGATTTGCGGTTCGAATCCGACCGGGCCCTTTTTTGCAAATTAGCTTGTGTGATTATTCGGATTATCGTCCGATGCTTTTGAAACTGTTGAAAGCAGGCTGATAGGCCTGTAATTACTCACATCTTGTTTATCTCCGTCTTTGAGTATTGATGCAATTTCACTGACTTTCCATTTTTCCGGAAATCGGGCTTTATTTGCGATGAGGTTAAACAGTAAGTGCAGTGATTTTGGCAGTGACTTGGAGAGACTCTTCAGAAGTAAGTTCCCGATCTTATCCGGTCCCTTGGCTTTATTTACGTCCAGTAGTTGCAGAGCGTTTTCTATTTCATCGGTCGTAAAGTGAATCTGATTTAGTAGGGTGCTATTTTGTTCGCCTATTTTCGTATAGTAGGTGTTTTGAGTGAACACTGATTGAAAGTATTCGTTGAATAATATTACTTTTTCAATATCTGTATTGGCAGTTCTTTGATCCAAAAAAATTTCGGAAGGGATAGTGTTTGACTTGGTGGTCGACTTTAAGTATCTCTGTATGGCGCTCAATTTGCCTTCCTTGAAGAGCGTCATCTCATGTAGATGCTGGTCATTTTGAAGCGACAGGGTGAGCTCAATTTGTAGACATTCGATTTTGATTTTGTTTGACGGCGTGGGCTGCCGTTGTTGTTTTAATTGAAGTGTATTTAACTTCTTGATGAGGTTTGAAGAGTTGCCACCTACCGATGGAGCCAGTTGGGACCTATGTTTCGTAGTTAGTGAAAGAAGATCCTTTAAAATTTCGTGTAGCCACTTAAACCAAAGTTCAACCATCAAGTCCACGTTGCTCATGCTCAAGTCCACGATGGAATTTTTAAAACTGCATTTGAACTGTCAAAAGAGCAAGGCAAATTGATTGCGCTTTTTTGTAGAGTTTTATTTCTGCCTAATTTAAAGAGCATAATTAAAAACTTTTGTCATTCAACAACGATTTGCCAAGCAGTTTTTGAGCGCAAAACACAAATAAAATGCCGACCAAAAGGCAAACGCGAAAGAAGTTTTACGGTCAGGCCTATATCAAAAATTTAAAACGTTGTCCGATAAATTCGTTAAAAACTATATGCAATTGGGTATATATGTACTTTTTGAGTTAAGTTCAAATTCAGCTGCTAAAAGTAAGGTAAACTGCACTCTCCAGATACGAAAGCGGATCTGGTGCGAAAAAACGTGAACGACTTCTAGTTGCGGCAGTGGATTTTAATTTTAAGATTCCCCAGCGAAATGAAAGTTTTACTCATTGATCTAGTTTTCTCAAATTAGGTTAATTTCTATCAAACAACTGCCAATCATAAATTGTTTTAGAAATTCAAAGAGCTTTAAAGCATCCTTTTTGAATTTCGATACTTCAGAAAAAAACTGAAGAACCTATCATTGTTCCGACCAGTGGAAATGAGGAGGAACTTGTATTCGGGTGTGTATTAGTTTTTTCTTTGTTTTCAACGCAAAATGTGGTACCACAAAAAATCATCGGACTAAGTTGAGCGATATATCATATTGAAGTCCTTCGAATAGTGATTTAAACAACAGTAGAAAACCCTTTTTTTTTCTAGTGTCGAGAAAATCCGGCTTGAAATTTTTGACTTTTCGTCTAATTTCGAGCAGGCTTATTTATGCTTATTTTAAGCTGTTTACAATAGCTTCTTTATGCCTAATTTTAATTTTATCGGAATAAAATTAATTATTAGAGATTTTTGATTCTATGTTGAGAATCAGAAACTTCAAAAATTCAAAAAATTTCTGCAAAAAAAATTTTTTTTAAAATTTTCATTTGTTAATGATTTTTTTCTCAAGTAATTTTTCTTCAAAAACTTGTTCTGTTTGGCTATAACGATCATTGTTGACTTTGCCTAAATTATAGTTTTATGTCAAATCCTTCCACGCAGACAAAACTACACTAATTAGAAAAAACTTTTTTTGCAGTTTTTAAAGACTATATTCGGAACATTCTGTTCTACTTGCTTAGTAACCGGCTATTCTTGTTTTTAATTTCAATAAGATTGCAAGTTCTTCAGATCGTAGCCTATTCAATACATTTCGCTGAATTTTTTGTATTTGAAGCAGTTGTGTTGCTGCACCAATGAAACAGCCTTGAATCTATCATTTTGAAGTTGAACTAATTGCTTGCTGTAATTTTGATGATATGAGAAACTAAAATAATATGTCGTTTTCTAGCCTTGGAGGAGACGAATGAAGAGTTCAAGTCGATGACTGGAGTTATCGGTACTTCTAGGAAACTACTCTCCAAGTATGACAGAAGAGCCCTCACTGACAAACTGCTCATATTTCTCGCTTTTGCACTTTTTCTGTGCACAGTATTTTACATAGTTAAGAAGCGATTGTTTCCGAATCTTTTCTGATAGTTGAAACTTGGGCCTGAATTGTTAATGGTGCTAATTTTAAGAGCCGTGTCTTGTAATTTATGTATAGTTAATGATATCCGTTCAAAATAAAAATTGGAATTAGGGTAAAACTTTTAACTTATTCTCATGACTTAAAAATGCTATAAAATCTTCTCTCATAAATTTTCGGCGAATCGGAAACAAAATCAGGTATCGAAGCTACTTAACGTTGCTAGATTTCAGAAGGCTGATTATGGAGACTCCTGATTTCAGCCATATTGACCCAGATTTGGTCTATGAGCCTCGAGAAGACTCGTTTCTTCTCCTTGACGCTCTGGAGAGAGACCTCGAATTGATCAAGAATTTGCGTCCAACCATTGCTTGTGAAATTGGTCCAGGGTCAGGTATCATTTTAGCAGCCCTCTCAAAGGTTCTGGGAACATCTTGTTTCTGCTTAGGAATTGACGTTTCCGCCTATGCATGTGAAACTACAAAAGTAACTTTTACAAGAAATCGATACGGAAATTCATTCGATGTTTTGAACATGGATTTGCTTAGTGGGTTGAGGTTACAATCGAAAGCAAAATTCGATGTCTTGGTTTTCAATCCTCCGTACGTGTGTTGCGAAGAATCCGAGGAAATAGACCCGAACAATGGGCTTCTGGACAAAACGTGGAATGGGGGCGCGAAAGGTACAAATACATTGGATCGGCTGATTTTAGATTTAGATAAGTTGATGGCGCCTAGTGGTCTGTTTTACGTGGTGGCTATATCGAAGAATGATATAGTCCGTTTAAGTGAACGCATCTCAAAAAGAGGGTTTTCAGCTCCCACAGTTGTCAAAGAGCGAAAAATAATAGGTGAACATCTGCACGTCTTGAGGTTCCAACGTCTTGAGAACTAATAAATAGAGGTAATTATTGGTCATATGTTTTCAACTTAATAAGTTATTTATTTTTCAGTTTCAATATGCCTTCAGGTGAAGTGAACTCTGCCGATCTTTTCAAAGAGGATCTTTACGCTGCTCTGGACGTCGAAAGCGCAGCCGAGGAAAAGGAAATCAGAAAAGCATACAGAAAGAAAGCCCTCACGTGCCATCCAGATAAGAACCCAGACAACCCAGATGCAGCTGAGCAATTTCGGAAGCTAAGTGCTATTTTTGAAGTTCTAGTCAATGTCGAAACCAGAAAAGAGTATGATCGAATTTTGAAAGCGAAAAAAGCGGCCGCTGAACGAAGTTACCAACTTGATGCTAAGAGAAGAAAATTGAAAGAAGATCTAGAACGAAGAGAACGAGAGGCTAATTTACAAAAGGAAAGGCAAGAAGAGGTGAAAATTGTTCAAAATTTAGAAAAACTATTGAAAGATTTGAGAGCGAATGGATCAAAATTGTTGCACGAAGAGCAAGAGTTACTCAAAAAAGATATAAAGAGCGCTTCAAATGAACGCAAAACATCTGTTTCAAAATTGAAAATCAAGTGGAATAAAGAAGGTTGTCCTATTTATGATAGTATTTCCTTAACTAAACTGCTGGCAAAGTACGGAGAAATAAACGCATTAGTTGTATCATCGAAGAAAAAAGATTCGGCCATTGTCGAGTTTGCGACTAACGAAGCGGCTGTTATGACATTTAGAAATGAAATCGGTGTTTTAAGTAATCGGTTGTGTTTTGAATGGATAGGAGATCCACCGCAAGAGTGTTTTAGTCGGCCTGCTCCAATGAAGCAAAAAGAGAAAGTACCTAAAAATGTAGTACCAGTTGCAACGCCAGCTGGTGATTTTGACCTTGAACAAGAAGAGGAGGAAGTTTTTGCGGTTTTGAGACGCGCGGCTGAAAAACAGAAGTTAGCTGAGCAGATGAAGATTGCAACACCTACAGAAGATCTAGACGTTTATGGTGCCACGTAGTGTTAGTTAGCTTTTAAAGTAGTTTAAAATTTGTCTTTGTTTTATGTATTGATACTCTAATTAAAATTTGAATGACCGAAATTTGGTTTTTTCCTGATTACGGAGTTGGAATTAAAATTTGCTGACATTTTGTATAACATATTTGGCTCTTCCCTTGTTCAAACAATTGAAAATGTGTAGTTTATATTTGGGTGTATTATAGTTTTTTTTCCTCCTATTTGTTTTCCATTTAAAGTCAGCTACCACAAATAATCATCGGACTGGGTTGAGCGATATATCATATTAAAGCCCTTATAGTTGTGATTAGAACCACATTAGAAACCCAAATTTTTTATAGTTTCAAGAACATCCGGTTTGAATCTTTTGATTTTTCGTCATAATTCGAGCGAATAAAGCGAGCGAGCAGTCTTATTATTTCATATTCGTAAAAGCTTGCAATAGCTTAATTTAAAACGTATAATTTGTTTTACTTGAGTAACGTTAGTTTACTTAAAGTATTTTACCGCCTTTTTGAAATCAATTTTCAAAAAACTGCAAAACTGCAAAATTTGAAAAAAATATTTTTTTTTTGATTTTTTTGTTTCGTTTTTCAATTAACTTTTTAAAAAAATTGGGCTCTTTTTCCTCCCCCCACCTCACACGACCTTCAATATATTAGTGTAACGAGTGGTTTTACGAGGTTAAGTATGAAGACCAAATATGTTTGTGGTGGCCTTATTATTCTGTATGTAAATTTTCATAGCAATCGGACAATGTAGTCAACAAATTTACATGTAAAAATTTGCAGGGGGGGGGGGGGGGGTGGGAGGGGAGGGGGAGGAGGAGGAAGGGAAGGAAAAAGAGTTAAAAATTGTTTTTCATTTTGCTAATTTTACTATGACTGTCGAATATACCTTAGCTCCAGTTATTAGTTCAGCTCCTTTTTTTTCACATCACGCCCAAAAAAAACAACAATAATTTGAAAAAACTTGTATTTTTTAAGACTATGGTCGGAATATTGTACCACTTGGGCTCTTTTTCCTTTCCCTTCCCCCACCTCACATGAGCTTCAATTTTTTAGTGTAACGAGTGGTTTTACGAGGTTGATAATGAAGACCAAATATGTTTGCCGTGGCCTTATTAGTCTGTATGTCATTTTTCATAACAATCGAACAAGGTGAATTAAAAGTTTATTGTAAAATTTTGCCGGTGAGGGAAAATGAAAAAGAGCCGCCACTTGCGCAGTAACCGGCTATCCTTGTTTCTCATGTGCTTATAATTTCAACTTTCGTTCACTAAGTCCACTTGTAACGAAATTTGGCTTGTTAGTTATTAAAACCACGTTCTGTACTCATTAACAACGCCGTTAAGTTTATGTGTTTTTTTTTGCTGCTGCGGGATCATTAGAAAATCTAATTTTTTTTCATAAAATTCCGTTGATAACCAAATTTTTGATGCCTTAGCTCAGATCGAGCGAAAGAATGCAATTAATGACAATTTTAAATGCACGTGTATAAACTACACCTCGTAATTAACTATTTATTTTGTGCTGGTAATAATGAGTTTTGTACTTTTTTGATGAAGATCATCGAGGAGCCTACTTAGACTTGTCTTAGAAGCCAACTGATCCACGAATGCCGCGTTTTGATGATCTCAGAAGTCAAAAGTGAACCAAAATCACCGACATAACTCTCGGTTTAGCCATTGAACGAAACGGTGCCAAGCTAGATTTTCCTGTAACGAAGACTGAATAGAACCCAATTAAGATCACACGCTTTGTCCCAAGAATCCCCGAAAGTTTACAACTGAACTGCTGATAGTGTCGATTGTATGCGAAGTTTAACAGCGAATGGCCCATCATTTTGTGAGCGAAGAAACTAAGTCAAAAGCGAGCGAAGATGAATTATCTATGGCTGAGAAGGCGCGTGACTTTATAAGTTCGCGAGTTTTGGATTTGTTTGAATTTACAGCTGATGGTTCGCTAAGACCAGAAGAGTTAGAAGAGAAACAGCAGGAAGCAAGAACCCCCTCCTCATCTCAGAGTTTCGAGAACATATCGTTTGGAGAGGCACCTGGATCTTCAGACTCAACCAATAGCGTCGAGTCAATAGAACTGCAGACCCCAATGAGTTCAGTTACCTCAGAGTCAGGTGACTCAAGTTCGTCTTCTCAGAACCACGATGCAGACAACGAGAACACGTCTGGAGAGTACATTTCTTCGAAGGATTTTAGGGTGAGTGCGTATGTTATGTCCATCAGATAGATGCATGAGCTGGCATAGTGCCCTCCGAGTATTACCTTTTTTTAGTCTTTATATTTTCAGATCTTAAATCGTATCCAGTCACCGGCTCTTTTTCCTCCCCCCTCACACGCGAGATTTTACAGGTAACTTTTTTGTTCAAATTGTCCAGTTGGGCTCTTTTTCCTTTTCCCCCCCACCTGCAAATTTTTATATTTGAAGTTACTGTTCACTTTGTCCGATTGTCGTGAAAACTGACATGCAGACTAATTAGGCCATGACAAACATATTTGGTCTTCATAATTAACCTCGTGAAACCACTCGTTAGACCATAAAGTTCATGTTTGAGTGAGGTGGGGGGGGGGGGGGGGGGGAAGGAAGGAAAAAGAGCCTCCGGTTGTTACAAAAATTAGGCCATGGCGAACATCATTTTGTCTTCATACTTTACCTTTAAAACCCCTCGTCACTCCACAAAACTGATGCGCAAGTGAGGTGTGGGGGGACAAGAATAAAAGAAAAATTTTTATTGCATTGCTCGATTTTTAGGAAATTGGCTTGCGTGGTAAATTACTTAGTTCTAAACAAGGCTCTTTTTTTCCCTCCGCCCCCCCTGCTATTTTTTACTAGTCAAGTTGCTGTTCACATAGTCCGATCGTTAAGAAAATTGACATGCGGACTAAATAAACTGTGCCAAAGATATTTGGTCTTCATATTTAACCTTGTAAAATCACTCGTTACACCATAAAATTGATGGTAGTGTCGGGGGGGAAGGAAAAACAGCCCGAAGCGGTGGGGAGGGGGGATGATGTACGGTAAAACAGCTTTTTTCCTATCGCACTCAACCGGCTAAAATCGGAACAATTTATTGTCCAACAGCAATAAACTTTTCGGGTCGCTCCCCATCGAGCCTAGTAGAAAAAATTACATCAACACGTAAGGGGCACCAAAGTATGGCAATAACAGAAGAAAAAAGAGACTTGTATGTTTGTTCGAAGAAAACTAAATGAGCAAATGGTATCTTACTGTGCTGATTGTTTTAATCTGCTATAAGTTACAAGGGAGCAATAGTTGAAAAGATCCAGAAATGCTTGTTTTGACAAGTATAACCAAATGATGATGATGTTCACAATGATTTCTGACGAATTTGTTTGGGTCTATAGTTTACTCTGGAGCTATAATGGGCAAGTTGTGTCAAAAAATTAAGTGGCAAAAAAAGAAAAAAATACTCGCGCTCTCCTTCCTCTCTTTTCCATTGTACCCCCTCCTGATTTTTTCTGAACTTCGAGTTTCTATAAAGTCTTCTTGAAATGACATTTGTTGTTTTAAACTGCAAAAAAACCTGTAAGCATAAATAGTTCTTCACGGAGGGGGGGGGGGCAGAAAAACACTCTGTTCCCCTCCTAAAAATGACGCTTCATCCCTGTCTGTTACATTATTATCATAGTTTCATTGCGGCTCAGAATTTCAATACCTTGTGAGGCTCTTCTTTTTTTGTAAACGAGAGAATTGCGTGTAGCGCCGTCTTAAATCCTATCAAAAGGGTTGCCGTCTTAACGGCTGGCGTCTTATTTGCCGGTCAAGCGTAATGAGCTATTATGAATTTTTAAACTCCAAATTTGTTCCAAACATGTCAAACGGGTGTAAACAAGTACAAGCTAAAATTTTAATCAAGTGTCTATGCCTTAATTCGCTTTTGAACAGAATTTTAAAGCATTTTTTTGCTTTAGTGCATTTTGGGGCCAGTTTTTGTCATTTTTATGCTAAGCGAAATTTTTGTACCGGTTATGATATCTTTGGGTATACGCAAATTGACAATCTGTAAGCGAGCTCAATGGGAATCAAAAATTAATTGTAGTGTTGTGATACAAGACTGCTCGCATCAGGGCAAAAACTGGACAATGGACAGTTGTGATACAAGACTGTCCATATAACTGGTCTTGAATAGTTTTTGGTTAATAAAATATTGACAATGAATTTTAAGCTGGATAATGAGAATCGTGTATGGAATTAATAAAAAGAACAATACTTTCTTCTTTTTGATTTCTTTCGTAATTTTTACCATGTCCTTACGGAGGAGCGTGTTCTCTGAGATTTTGTCCAGTTTCATGTATTCTCGAGTAGTCGGGTCTTCTACATAATTGAAATGTCGCATGCCATCACAGACTATTCTTATCCATCCGAATATGTTTCTGCTTTTCTTGAGCTTTGTCCAGCTTGAGCAGCTTCAAAAGAATCAAGCACACTGGGCTTGCACCCTGCTTGTGACGGGTCCGTTTGGTGCTGTTTCTTTATGTGATTTAATAAGTTTGTCCTGCCAGTGTTCTTTTTTTGGACCAATATCTTGCCGCATCTGCACTTTCACAAACCTACGTCTGCTTCAGTTTGCGTGAAAAACTATGAGCTTGCCGTTTTTGGTGTATCCGACATCTTTCACAAGCAAGACTGTTAGTAAAAAAAAACAAGAAAGATGCCAAAATGATGAGAAAACTTCCTCTGCAAAGTTAGGAGGAAGCGAATAGTGAGCAGCATTTATAAAATCCAAAAGATATTACAAGCCTATACACGGTTTGCCTGGTGAATATGGTACTGGAATTGCAAATAGGTGCTGGAAATGCAAATATGTACCAGAATAAAAAAACCAATTAATTGCAATTAATTTTTAATATCAATCAAATAATTGTTATAGGTGACGTTCAACAATCAATGAATTTAAACACCCCTGATAAATATTCTTGACTTAAAAATGTACTTTCTCTGAATATGAAACAAAACATCACTTTAAAACGGGAGAGCTAGCGCAAAGGATCAATACGTAACGGGTGAATAAAATGATTAAAATTTGTTTCCGATCGGCCGAGTGTTTATCTTGGGGGTTTGTACCAGTCTATGGTCTTGTAGTATCCTGAGTTTCAACTTGGACGAACGAGAAGATACAAAATATCAAAGTTTTCCGAAATGTAACTTTCCTATAGCAAAGTTTCTGTTTTGAATATCTTTTTGTTCGAAATGGTGGCCACTACGTAGGTGAGTTTTGCGGGCAAAAAATCCATGCATTCACCAAAATTCATGAAATTAGCATTGCCTGGGAGCTTTTTGTTGTTGTGGCCTTGAATCTTGACGACATTGGGTTAGTTTATTTCTCTCTCCGTTACGTCTCGTTGAGACCTGGATGCCTTCTCCGGAACTAGTCAGGTCCCCGAGGCCCCACTAGTATGTGTATGTCCTCCATTGGACTTATCCGTGGACAGCCTCTGGAGAGCCTGATAGAATTCCTTGGCCAGGATTTGGATGTGGTCCGTGGCTGGGTGCACCCCATCGTTCTTGTCTATATGGGCTTTCGTGAACCGTCGGTATCTGTAATTGTTAGTTTATTCCGGTTAATAGTAGATTCGTCTCGTCCCTAGCTTGTTCGTGAGTCGCCTTCATTTTGAAAGTATTTTCTCATGAAAAAAATTATGGCCCTCAGTAAGTTAGTCAGATAAAACAAAAAAGCGCACAGCGAAACAGCGTGTGCTTTTTAGTTCATTCATGCATAACTTGTTAGTAGATGACGCTTTTCTGGTGTAAGTTCGCTGGTGGGCGCCTTGGTTGCATCGCTACTTCGCAGCGATAACAGGCTCTATGTTTGTAAAAAGAGCCCTTTGATCCGTTGGCAAGTCGAAGCACTTATTAACCCTTTCCTTTTTAGGAATTGCAGCGTATAGTTCATTACGAACAAAGTACGAATACACTTATGTCTGAATGCATGTTTTTGAAATGAAAGCAAATCGATTGTTTCAAGTCAATTGAAAATGGTTAAACTGGGGCCATGTTTTTTTGCTTCTAGGCTGAAGGGGTTATAATGGGAAAGACTCATTTTACTTTAAAGATATTCAATTAGATTAAGATTATAAAATAAGTTGTCAATCTACAAACCGCTTTTTTGAATAGCTGTAGGGGTTGGTATAGTTTTTTGTTATTAGACGTGGGTATGAGGGTGTAATGGGACAGCCGTGAATTCTTAATCTTGGTTTAGAGTCCCAAAGGCTACGAATATTGGCAGGACGAATCAAGTGGCAGCTGCCTCGATTTCAGGAAGTTGAACAGCTCATCCCGAAATGCATCACATGCCACCGATCACTCATTCAACCCAAAAGAAAGGAACTCAGCCAGGTTGAAAGAAGTGAGGCAAAACAACAGACACAAGAAGAAAGTATTCTCCAAAATCGAACCACTCCAGATTTCATGGGCTAGCAAAACTACAGTAGACAGATTCTGGGATTATGACGATGACCTTTTTCTACGTCTAGTATTTTGCATCTCAGATGTATGTGTCCTACGCTGGGAACTGAGTTCGCCGAAAAATTTCTACTTGCCAGAATCCGTCAAACCAAGTCTGAAATCCTTGTTCTACGATAAAATGGATATAGATAAACTTTCCTTAGTATCTTATGTCTCGCTTTTGAGCGGGGCGCCTTTTGAAGAAAATAATCTCAAAAATCTAAAAACTGGCTTCGATGATAGCTACTCGATAGCAAAAGTGGCAATGAATATTTTGTGCGCAATGGACAAAGCTAAAATGATGCCAAGAATTGATATCGATTACTTGGACCAGATTGATACGCCAGAGGAAAATGAGTTCAATGAAGCTGACTCTGAAAGTGAAAATGATGAAAGAAATGAAAACGGAGTTGAAGAAAGAGAAAGTAAGCGTGAGCTACGTGAACAAGCGTGTGAAGAATTTGACGACGACGAAAATGATCTAATCGAAAATGAAAAAGAAGCTTTAACTCCGGAAAAACTAGACGCAGATTGCATGAACATTCATGAGGATGTTTGCGATGAAGGTGATAATCACGAAGAATTCGAAGAAGACTCCAGCTCGTCTGAGGAATCTGCTAGCGAAGATGAAGAATCCGAGGTTGATGAAACCCCGATTGAACCCGAAGTAGTGGAAGCAAATGTCACCGGACAACAAGGTACGTGTGAAGCTCCGGTGGCCAATGAACCACAAATATATTCCACTCAAGTCGCTGTCGAGGAAGCTTCGTTTTTGGAAACCGCTGAAAAACCCCAGAATGATCGGGAAATAGTAATCGAATCCGAAATGGACGAAGTAGCAGCATTAAATATGCAACTAGCGGAAAACGAAGTGGTTCCCATTGAAGATTTCACTCTGCCTTTGATTCAGGAGCACGAGAACTTGAGCAGCAGCCAAGCATACGAGAGCTTGCAACAAATGCATAGCGATTTAACGGAAGATTATGTGCCGACATTGCAGGCGATGCTAGTAGCAGGAATGAAGACTACGTTGAATCTAAAGGAAGCGGAAAAGTTCTGCTTGAACAACGAAGTCGGAGACGTGAAAGAATCAGAAGTAGGCGAGCTCATTCGAGAGCAGAACGAAGCGCTTTTGCATCGAATTATGGAATTAGAGGATTCGTTTGAACCGTTTAGCGTTGAACAGACTTCGGCCGATGAGTCGAATCATGCACCGGTTTTGTTCAGTAATCAGCGCTCGTGTATTAACTTAATGGAAGCAGATTCAAATCTAGTGGATACCGGAATTGAAGCGGAACAGACACCTCACGCGGTTTTGCAGGTTGAAAATTCTACGATTGACGAGTTGGCAAGTTTGCAGCCAGAAGATGGCCCGGAAATAGTTTTCACAGACGATGGTCGTGTGTGTATGGGTGAGAACTCTTCATTTTCTGTTATGTACGCACATAGAACATATCAACCCTCAGCAGTTGAGACAGAACCAGTCAGAGAGCTTCAGCAACAAAATTCGATGCTGCCTGGAATTTGTTCCCAAGATGGAGATCACGCTAATTCGGAGAAAAATGCAAAAAGCAAGGCAACAGTTCTGAAAATTCAGTTTCAACAGTCTTTAAAGCGGTATTCAGATGTGAAAACGGATCGAAAGGAGTTTCCAATGAATTCATCCATATCGTTGGACCAGAACGAATGTGTTCCTTGTAACGAAACTGGAATTGTTCTCGACTCACCGAATAGAAGTTTTTGCTTCACTTCAACGCCGGCACAAAGTGCGGGATCAGCTTCGGGAAAATCAAAAATCCCAAGACTACCTCAACTCCGCACGACATCTTTGAGCAAATCAGGGGATAAATCATATGGATACCCACCACGTAGTGCGACAAACAAGCCCTCGATTACGCCTCGAAGTGCTAACACAATAGCTAGGGCTCCTCCAACGCCCCTACCAAAAGTTAGTGTAAGTAGGGAATCGAAGATTCCGAGGCCTGCGATTCCAAGTGGAGGCAACAGCTCGAGGTCTGTGATGGGCATTCCAAGTGCAAGCAGCCGAGCGAGTGATCGATCGACTCCTTCTATGCTGACTACATATTCCTCAAGCCTACATCATAAACCGCCCGCAGCCCCTACGTCGAAAATACTAAGAACAAGTTTTAAAAAACCCTCGCCTAGTCCCAGAACACCTATAACGAGCCAGAAATTATCAGTTCCAAGCGTTAAACCCTCAGTAGTGCCGACAGCAAAACTGCCTAAAGCTGTTGCAAAACCTGCAGCTTCAACAACTGTTTTGACTGATGCTGTTATTGTGTCATGTATTGATAGGATTAGAGTCAAACTGAGAGGCAGTAAAGATGCACAGGAAGAGTTGTCGAGACTTTTTAACGAGGTTCTCAATTCGTCTTCGAATCTAAGAGACAGCAGTTTGTCTCCTATGCAGTTAGCAAAAGTGCTCTCAAAGTTCGACCCTTCAGTCTCTGAATTCAGTCTGAGAGACAAGCAGAAGTTGGCATCCAAGCTAATAACGGGCAAAGACCAGAAAATAGATTTCAAAACATTCATTGCGCTGTACTCTAAGTGAAAAGGAAACCAATCCTGCAACACTAAATATTCACATTCTGACGTAACTTTTCATGCTCCGCTGAGAGTAGTTTGAATTGAAGTTAGAAATAGGTTAGTCTGTGGCTGATTCTTACGTGGTAGGAGCAAGAATTGTCATTTGATAAATATCCACACACCAATTTTGAATCCAATCCGGAATAACATGCCCAACTATAAGTGTAAAGTAACGCACCGGCAGTTGTAGAGTTGAAGTTTTTAAAGTTGTGGTTTCATGTATCCGGTTTTAGTTTGTTTGGTAGAATTTCTACTCAGTTTTTGCCGAAAGTTGTCAGCTTGTTTTTTTATTTTCAGTGTACTGAATAATAGGGCCCGTCTTGCAATCGAAAGGTTTCCGTTTAACCTGTAGAATTGGTGATCATTCCAACCGTAACTGTTGATAAAAAAGTTTTAATTTCCTCAAATATGTATGGAAATGGACCCTCAAATATGTATGTAGCAGGAATTCGACTCATTCTCCACACTGTAGGTCTCCTCTTAATTGCAATTTCAATCGTAGGAAGACGGATTTCAACTTTGTTCACGATCATATGTGACTTTTTCAGGGTTTGACTTTGATTTCTTTTCCAGATCATGCAAATGAATTTGATAATTGGTAGGTGCATTATGCTCTCCAATAACAGAAGTGCAAATTACGCTAAAAACGTTAAATGTGAATGTCTTGTTCAAAAATGGACGTTAGTTTGCAGAATTGCCAAGAAAATAAAAGAAGTTATCTATTCACCCAGATTTCTTTTATTGGCTTAATTTAAGGAAAAAGTTAAATCATTATCAATTCTTGAAAATCGAAGAGTTTGAATGTGATGATTTTTCTTAGTTAATCATTTTTATTTGGTTTCCTAGCATAGCAGTGTTTCTCCTGATCCAATCAAGGAAGATTCAAAAAACTTTTTCTGGCATTTTCAAGCAAAATCAGTTACCGTAAATGGACGTCAAATTGAATTGAGTGATACATCATAATAAAGCACTTGAGTATAAGTCCCAAATTTTCCCAATTTCGAAAGGAATAGTTTGAGAAAATTCAATCATTACTTTCTTGGCCCATAAAAGTTCTCAATAAAAATCTTTCTGTAATAAAAATGTAAATGCGTTAAAAATTCAGCATTTAAATGATCACTTTTACCGACTCAAGGCCCCACAAAGCAGTAAAATTCAGCGTAGTCGGCAAAAACTAATATTGGTAGTTTTCTGCTAAATTGTCTGTGGTCGTTACTTTTTCTGTTCTCAAGTATAAATAAAATGTTCAATTAGTTGCCTGATTGAACAAAAAATTGATTTGGATGAAGCACATGATGATTTTCTTAACGAAAAGGTTTTGAAAAACGGAAAAAAATTAAAATTTACTTTTTTCGGGTTTTTGTTATTACGCTTGTCAATATTTTTTCTGCAAGATGGGGCCCGGCGCTTGTGTACACTAAAAGAAGCCGTGTTCAGGGTTTTTGTCAAATTTTGTTCGGCAAAAGCTTGTAAACAAGGTTAAACAGTTGCTGTGTAAGTAGACAGAGCAGCTGGCCTAACTTTGTTTAAAAACGTTTGCCGCTCAAGTTTTAGTAAAATGCTGAACACGGCTTCTTGCAGCCTACACAACCGCCTGGCCTGATTCCGCAGAAAAAATACTGAGACGCGTTATAACAAAAACGTATTAACAGACCATTTTATTTCTGTTTTTCGAAACTTTTTCGCAAACCAAATAGAAATTTCCGAGCGCAATAAAAAAACAATTTCATTTGTTTTTCACATTGTGTAGTTTTTTTTTGAGGTGTCACGGAATGATCTGATCAAAAGCGTATAATTTCGACATATTCAATAGTAATACAAATTTCGGCAAGTTTTCCTCAAAAAAAAGTTTTAAAAAAATACCCGAAGAATATATCCAATGAGGCGCAAAAAGAAACTTGGAGTGAAACAAAAACTTCAAGGTTAAGTTTGAGTTGTACGCTCCGGCTTGTGCACTCCTTGTCCGCTGAAAATAGCTTACCAGTACTTTTACTCTTGCGATAAGCAAGGATTTTGCAATCGAGAACTTGACTTTTTTTCCCATAATAACGGTATTCATCTGACAATGACTGAAATTGGTGATCATCTCTAAATATGTACTTTCGTCAACCACCAGAAATCATTTTAATAATTCTGCATTTTAAATGCCCATTCTTTTCAATTTTTTGACGTTGGTTATAAATTTATCAACTCTTCTTTCGTTTTTATTTTTCTATTTCGACCTTTAAGGTTTCGTTTTTTTAAATCGGTTTAATGAGCTCATATTGCGTCGTTTGTTGATCAAAAAGTTTTATCTATTTTTTTTCGAAAGAAAGGACTTAAATGGAGACTTTTTGGATTTGGGTTTCAAAGTTTTGTCTGTAAAAACAGTTTTTTTTTTCGGCTCAACGTGTGCCTGCTAAAGTATTGTCGGCTTTGCTATCACTGCGTAAGTTTTGTTCCGATTCTACTGGAACAATTGTCCTAATAGGCGTGTTTCTCTCAAAATGAACTTTGTTTGAGACAAAATAGTTTTTGACATTTGTTTCGACAAATCTTGTTTTCGCGGCGTTCGTCTCATTTTGTGTCGGCTAATTTCTTTTGTTGTGCTTGTATTGTATCACAAGTGTTGCGAAGCTCGGCTTCAATGTATAAAAGCATTTCATAATTTTTCATCTCAACTTTCCTACAGTTTTACTGTCTCAACAAAAATTATTGTCTGATAAAAATACTCGCATCAAATCTGTCTGAGTACTAATTTCTATTTGATCTCTTGATGTGACTCGATTTCAGATTAATGATGTAAATGAATTATGGAAGCTCAAGTCATCACCTAAAGAATAGATTTAGAAAAACAGGGAACATCTGTGTTTGAAATAACGATACAATGGATGGCGCACAAGAGGGAACGAAGGTATCTGTTTTTTTTTCACATGTTTTAGAAAGCAACTATTTGGGGTTGGTACAATAGTGATGAAGTAAAGAAAGTCTGAATTATGTAGCATCTTTTATTTTTGGAAGCAAATGGGTTAAATTTCCGTTCTAAGTTGCTTTTTGTTTGAATTTTAGTGAGACGAATTCTTGGAGAAGCTTTTGCATGAACTGCATTGAACCCAACTCAAGACTAGCTTTTCTGACTTTCTGCGTTGAGAAATTTACAGACATTTCGAGAAAGTTGCTGGTTTTGATAATGCAGTTTGACTGACATACACGCATATGGAGAAATTGTGAAATTTGGAGATTTTTCCGCCGCATTTTCAACTGGACATCATGCGTGATTTTTACAAACTGATGATTGAATTTTAACCTGAAATATTTGAATTTTGACGGTTTGTTACACAAACGGAAAATTGGTATGATTTTCTTTTGCTTTTTACTTTTAAACGAAGTTAATAAATGGTTTTGTTGTTCGTTTCTTTTAAAATTCTTGTAATTCCTTTTCCCGATTTCGGGTATTCTGTTAAGACAGCTCATAGCTACAGGTCCTTTTTCCTTACATACGCTTCTATTGAGCAAACAGCGGCTTTACTTGATTAAGTACGACGACCAATTTGCCTTTTCGACCTATCTGTTTGCGTTCGATTATTTGCATTTTCCCCATTAAAATCCTCCTTCAATTATAGCGCCTCAATTCGTAATTTTTGTATTTTTGGACAATTTTAATAGTTTTCTGGGGGGTTATAATGGGAGATAGTTCATCCTTGTAGAGAACTGGAATTGTTTCGAAAAAAATGCTGAGTTGTGACTGTGATTTAGCTTTTCACTGGTCAAATAATAAATTGCGGTTTGTCTCTCGCGGGAAAAGGAATAAGTTCTTGGAAATAATCAAAAAGCAATTTAATCTGATGTAAAAAGACTGACTCTAAGAGTGATTTATTCTAGTTTGCAAAATGGGTAGTAGTGGTACAGGAGCTTACGAGAACCTTCTCCAAATCGGCTTGCAAGAGTCGGTAGCACAGCAACTGGACCAGCTGATAACGGACGGGTACTTCCCTCCTGAAGGATACCCTCCTGATGTCGCTGGAAACTTCCGAGGAATCGACGAGCCGACGTTGAATGAAATTCTGAACAACTATAAACAGAGTGATTTTACGAACGTCTCGGACTTCGGAGATCTTCTGCTTCAAGTGGCGAAAGGAGTGTTTGAGAAAGGCGGGTCAACGAACGGTGCTCAACCCATGGTACAGCAACCTCCAGAGTATATGAAGCAAGAACAGATGGATAATCAAAACTACCCCGGACCCGCGGCGCTAGAGCATGGGTACCAAGGAAAACCTTCGGGAGGACCGAGAAGCTCTGGTCCTACCAGCGAACGAATGCAGAAAATACTTGACAGAACAGGTTACAAATATGAAGCCACGGCGGGCCAGAGATCCTATGGACCCGGACCTGGGTTCGAGGACTTCAAGCCACCCAAAAATTGCCAGTGTTACTATGGAAAGATTCCGTACGAGCTGAATGTTGAAGACCTGGTTGAGATGTTCGAGAAGGCAGGCACCATCTTCCACATGCGACTGATGATGAATCCAGAAACCGGAAAGAACCAGACGTATGGATTTGTGACGTTTACGGAGCCGCAAGCTGCGAAAGCATGCGTGGAAATGTACGACGGATATGATGTCTTAATACCACGTGAGTGATAAGTAGTATATAAATATATAGATCTGTAAAACTTCAATAATTAGATCTGTAAATCTTTAGATCCAAGTGCTAAGTTACAATCCAAGAAATCAATACTCTGTTAACCAAGTATTTTGAAGCTACCCGTTTCTGATTTTCATCAGAGGCGAGCCACTTTCCGACGCCATCATTTGAATGAGGTTATGAGAATGAATGGGTAACAAGTGCTGTTCACTGAGAAGGAATCATAAGAGATTTTTTTGTTCAAGTTAAGTTCTGTATCTTTAGTGACGAACCGTAGACGCCAGATGGTGGTGAAGATTTCGGAACCCAACCGACGTCTCTTTGTCGGTCCAGTGCCGAAATCGAAAACTAAGGATGACATAATGGAGGCCTTCTCGCAAATTGTTGCTGGCATAGAAGATGTGATCATCCACGAGCCGGCTGAGCCAGGAAATGCAGCCAAGAACAAGGGCTTCTGCTTCCTTGACTTCGTTGATCATAAATCTGCATGCACTGTTAGTATTCATTTTACTTGAATAATCACCTTGAGTATATGTTTCAATAATGTTATCCTAGCCGTAATGTTCTTTAGGTTACCTATAGTCTCATTCAAAAAGTTATTTAATCAGAATATTTTGTAAAATAAGCAGCAAAATTTTTTCTCCACTTATTCCACTAAATTGTATGGGTCGTGTTGCCCCGACATTGCAAGTCCAATGCGTAACTGACAGTACTGAACCTGCAGGTTTCAATGCTAGCAGCTCTAGAATGTATCATAATTGACTTCTCATTATGATAGTTTCATTCAAAATAGAAAATTAACGTTTGTGCGGGGGGGGGGGGGTTTGAATTGAAAGCAAAGCGTTTTTTCCTGAAATTCAAAATGTTCTTTGCTTAAGGCCAAAAAACACCTGGACCGCGGTGACATTCCGATCCAGTCTTGGCGTGGCTTCACTGGCTACGGCACTGAGTGGGCAGATCCCCTGGACGAGCCAGACGAGGAGACCATGTCCAAAGTCACAAATCTCTACATTACGAAGCTGTCGGAAAACGTCACCGAGGAACAGCTCAATGAAGTGTTCAGTCAGTACGGCACACTTGACAAGAAAATCAAAAAGGTAGCTAAATGATCGTATCAATTGAAGTTTAGTTGGTAATGCTTACTGAGCTTTAAAGAAAGGCAGTCCTTTATCATTACGATGCTCTTCTGTACGCCCTTCGCCCGCACCTGACGTGAATATCTATTTAACGGTGAAACTATTGAGTTTAAAAGGTTGTACATGCGGACTAAATTGTTTACATGTATATATGTTTCTTTTTTTATGTTATCTTGAAAATTTGTATGGGGTAAAATTGATGACAATGTCAAATTGATGCCTTTATCTGGTTGGGGGAAACGGCGGAGATCCCAAACTTATGACAATAAAACAAAAGAGACAATAGAACAAGAAAATGGAGTTAGGAAAGCACTAGAAGAACTAATTAAACTTATTTTTACATTTGCGAGAGCAAGTCTCTTGTAAACGGGGACTTAAATTTTTTTTCCCGTAAACAACTTTTCCTACAAGAAATTGCACTTTTTGTAATATTGAACATTAAAAACTTCCAGGTTCCTTCACGCTTGGCCAGCAGGTAACGCGATCATTTTTACACTGCAAGGACTGCGGTTCGAGTCACGGCAGGAACTTGTTTGTTTTCAGTTTTTATGGAATTGAAATTTTTCCGGTAAAAATTCAATTGTCAGACTTTCGCTTGTCTGCTTAAGTTTTGTCGGCTTAGAAGCCACATCTCGGATTTTTATTTTGCTGTAAGTATCATAGTGGTTGCAAGTGGTTGTAATTGTAATTTACAGGGAAATTGAAACTTCTCAATTCTTTTTTATGAAATCCTTTTTTTCCGGCTCAACTGGTTTCTCCTCTTAAAATGTCGGCTTTTTTCCGATTCGAAAGTTTTGTTCCGTTGATAATTAAAATTTTAATTGTGTAGTTTGGCATGTTTTCCTACAATTCTTGTTTGATAACAATGGCTCTTTTCCAGTTCCCCCTTTCAAAATACCGAGTATTATGTTTGTTTTACGTGTTATTGCGGCTAAATGCGTGATGGTACGCTTTAAAGTATGAAGAACAAATCTGTTCAGAATTGTCGATTTGTTCACCACGCAAAATTTCATTGCTTTATGACTACGTTAAATAGACTTTTCAAAATTGAAATTCAAAGGGGGGAACTGGAAAAGAGCCAAAACAATTAATATCAAAATGTATGGAATTGGGTTTTAATGTAATTTTATTTTTTTTGATGCTTTGGAAAATTTGTTCTTTTCGCAAAAATTGGTGATTTTTTCTCAAACGATTCCACCGATTTTCAAACAATGGGTATTCTTGGAAATAAAGACTACTCCCCTGTGTGTCTGAATAAAGCCTTGATTTCTTTTTACTTTACTCCACTGTCTACAGCCTTCGAAGAAGTTTGTGGGGGATTATTTTACCCCTTTTGTGGATTTTTTTTCAGCAACTCCCTACCATATCTGAGTTTTTGGCTTCAAAAAATATAACAGGTTTATTGAATCTTCTGCGTAAGCGGCAACTCCCAAAAATTATTTTTTGCAAAAATACTATGATTCTTGGAAAAAGCAAATTTTTGATTTGTTGACCGTTTTCTAGAACATTTTCGACTTTTCGCAAACTACCCTGCCAATCCTTGGTTGTGCTCAATCGAAAAACATGGTTTTCTTGAAGCTTCTCTGCTTGAGCGGCCACGAACTACTTTGTACAGAAAAAGTTAAGGATTTGTATAGTTTCGTTTTTGAGTTTTTCCTGCAGAAGCGGCGACTCATGATTTTTTTTTCATCTTTTTCTATTTAAGTTTTTGTTGTTTCGCAAGTGGAGCGAAGTTCCACTTCGCATCTGTGTAAAAAGTGTGACTGTAAAAGCGTTGGTATTTTTCTAATGCATGGGGAGAAACAAGAGCTTCTTTTGCAGTCGAAATGACGGATGCTGAAGCTTATAACTGAATTTTGATTTCAGATCCAAAACTACGCCTTCGTTCACTTCGCAGACAGAGATGCCTGCATGCGAGCACTGGAAGAACAAAATGGGAAGCAAGTGGGTGACTCATTTATGAAGATAGCTCTGGCAAAGCCGGTGGATCCCAACAAGAAGAACCAGATGGGAGGACCCGGGGGCAGAGGGGACAGACGGGGCGGCATGGGTCGGGGAGGGTTTGGCGGTCCAAGAGGGAGAGGAGGAGCACCACCCGGTGGATTTGGAAGAGGAGGATCAGGTGCTGCAGCTTATTTTCTTTTCTTTGCTAATACTTCAATTACCCTTGGCTCATGATGATGAAAGCTTTTTGATTTTGTTTCCTTCGTGAGTCAAGAGATGTTTTGATATGTAAACGATAGCTTCACTGGAAAAATCAGCCATGTTAAATTCAATCCAACAAATAGCAGAATTAATTATGTATTCTACTTTTTTTTTCGATTTTAGTATTCGTATCTAAAAGTTAGCACATAAGAAGATGTTCGGTTGGGTTGATTCATGTAGTTCCATTGTCTTTATTTTATGTCTGTTCATTTCGCAGGATACGGAGGCGAGTATGGCTACGCTGCAGATAGCTACGGATACGATCAATACGGCTACGGGCCACCCAGTTACGGATACGGATATGATCAGAGCAGAGGATACGGAGGGGGCTATGGGAGCGCCGACCCCTACTCATACGGGTTCGGAGGGGGCTATGGAGGAGCAGGCGCTTACGGTGCTCCCTCGGGTTACGGAGCTCCTCCCCCTAGTAGAGGAGGTGGCTATGGAAGTCCCCGGGGAGGAGGTGGCGGTGGATTCGGAGGCCGAGGAGGGTTCCAAGGTGACAAGCGGTCCTTCGGAGGCCGAGGAGGACCTCCCCCCAAAAGAGGTCGTGGGGGATTTTAAATCAGCAGCAGAGATTTGGAAAACACTGATGAGCAATTTAATTGAAGATGCGATCCCATTTGCAAGTGAATTCTTTGTTCGTGAATACTTATGTATTAATCTCTTCTACATTGTTGTTACATTGTCCCATATTTAATTATGTGTTTTATTACTGTGGTATGAAAGCAATCCCCTCGCTCGACTTGGGAGAAATAGATAGAATATTGATTGCATCAAATGGGCTACAAGCTAAACTCAACCTGTTTCGTATACTATTTACTATAAATTCTTAGTTCCGTTTTATTCCTATCAAGAAGTTGCAATGTACCAAATTTGCGTCACTTGTTGATCAATTCAATTTGAACTGAACAAAAGCTTTCTTTTTTTATCTTCTGAAAAATCAGCAAACATCTCAAAGAATGAAAGAAGCAATCCTTAATGAAACTAGAAATGAATGAGTCGAGGATTCTTGATTACTTGCATAATTATGCGCTTCTGACCAATGCTTTCCGAATTATTTAATTATCTGTAGTCGGAATGTAATGGGACTTTATTTGGTAAAACAATGTGAAAAGATTTGCCTCTAACTGGATTACTGGTAGTTAGCGACTGATCGCTCAAAATTTAATAAAGGAATTATCCGAAATTAAGATATATTATTGTAAGAAAAAATTTATAGCGCAATTAGGGATTGGTCAGGCAACTAAATAATTAACGATCATTATCTTGAGCACTAACTTGATAAGATTCGGAGGCTTTGTTGGATATAAAATTCATATTCATTTTTATTTTGCGCAGCTCTTTTAGTCACACAAATAATATCCGCCGATTGTTTCAAATCAGAATTTACTGAACAGCTCCAAGTTCTTTTTAGATCTTGTGTACCATCTTTGATCAACACAACAACAAAACTCAACCATCTAATTTTTTACACCAAGAAAAGTACGACTAAAACCAATCAAGATGTTTGAAGCTCACATGCTCGATGCCCAAGTCTTCCGAAAGATCTTCGAAGCCGCCAAGGAACTGCTTGAAGATGCTTCTTTTGACTGCACCTCCGAGGGTCTCTCGCTCCAAGCCATGGACGCTATCCACGTCAGTTTGGTGTCTCTGGAACTGAGAGCCGAAGGCTTCGAACTGTACCGATGCGATCGAGCGACCAACATGGGGTTCAAGGTCGCAGGACTCTTGAAGATCCTGAAGTGTGCAGGAAACAAAGACTCCTTGACGATGCGAGCTGAAGACCAGCCGGATAAATGCTCTTTCATTTTCGAGTCTCCCAATAAGGATAAGATCTCCCAGTTTGACTTTGCGTTGACGGATATTGATCAGGAGCATTTACAGGTTCCGGACCAAGAATACTTCGTCAACATCAAGATGCCTTCTGCCGAGTTCTCCCGAATCTGCCGAGATCTTGCTAACTTCGGAGATACTGTGACGATCTCGTGCACGAAAGGTCAAGTGCAATTTGCAGCCAATGGAGACTTGGGAACTGCCAACATCCGACTTCAGGAGAGTAGCTCCATCGATGACGATGAATCGGACCGGGTGCAGATCGATGTAGGGGAACCCCTGACTCTGTCTTTCGCTGTGCGATACTTGAACAACTTTGCCAAAGCACAGGTACGCAATATTTTTCCCTATAGTCTTATGAAATAAATTCAATGCGAATCTGCCTGATTGAAATAAGATACAAGCCAGTATAACCATTGGTTCTTGGTGGTGAAACTTTAATACATTAAGTTTCATTATTGTTTTATGTAGACATAAGATAACTTTGTTGGATTTCATTTCAGGTTCTGTCTGATAGTGTGACCTTGATGTTGACTCCCAAGACTCCGATGGTGGTGGAATACAAGATCGGAGACTACGGGCACATCCGATTCTATCTCGCACCCAAGATTGACGACGAGGAAGAAGACGACGCCACTTCCCAGCCCACCACCCAGGCGCTCAAGGACGAAGACGACGATGAGTGAAGTGAACACTTGTTCCTATCTCCTGATTGCAATAAGTCTCACAATGCGTGCACTAATGTTGCCCGCTCAGTCGACTACTTACCCTTTTTTAAACCTGGGACAACTCAGGAACTTGCTTTTTGTGTGTTTGATTGAATTGATGTGATGCAACTGGTTTGAATACTGATAAAAAACTGAAAAATAAATGAGCTAATAAGTGTTGTTGGTTTTGAGTTGAGAAGTTTTCTTTAATTTGGTTGACTTGCTGTTATTTATTTAATTGAAGTTAGTTTTTTATGTAAGTTCCTTAAACCGCGTGTGACTTTCAGAGAGCCATCAGTTGACAATTATTTGTAGAAATCGAAATCTTGTTTTTCGAAATTTGTGTCAAATATGGTGGTTTGCTCTACTCTACCTTAATTAGTTGAATCAATTTCGATCTAGTTTCGATGTTTGTAACTATTTCAATCGTGCAATTAAAATTGAATTGATTCAAGCTCGTTAATTTAATGCAACTTTACTCCGACTGTTGTTATTTGTATGTAAACGAGACTGAAACATCCAGTCTATCTCTTTCTGTCATTAATTCACATCGTTGAAAATAATCTTTTCTCTGGAGAAATGTGAAAAATAAGGAGAAAGGAGATATTTTTGTTGGTTGATTGATTGTAAAGTACTCACCCAAGAAACTCATGTTGGTTTTCGTGAAGTCTCGAGGAAGGTTTCAATTAGCTTACTAAATAATAGAGTGAGAGTTTGTGATCAATATGGGCGTCTGAAATCAACATTTCATGACTTTGCTGCATAGCATCGGCAATTCAAAGCTATGTCATTAATAAACTCGCTATATAATTACTTTTTTGAAATTATTGCAAGATAGTAAAAAATCGGGCTTGAACATTGGTTCGCTTTCTTTTCCATTTTTTGTATTATCGTTTCTTATTTCAATTTTTACTTGTTTTTTATTCAAATTTAACAGAATATGTTTTTTAAAAAAAAACAGCGAACAAGAGTAGCGGTTTGTTGTGGAAGTGGCGCTGAGTGTTGTCAGGAGAAGTAAAAATGGATTCAAATGATCCGTTCAGCTAAATAACAATTGCTGAATGACGGAGAAGTGCCAGATTGAATCAATCGAAATCTCGACTCGCCAGTTAAAGATTATTAAAATCAGTCTAAGAAACAAAAATGTTCGGCGAGTTTTGCTCTCCAATTCTTCGAGCAGTTGTTTTTGGAATCCGACTCACAATTGAATTGCAAGGTTTTTTATCTGATATAAGATAAAATTGAATCTGAAGAGTTTCCTTAAGGTAGCGATTAATTTTTCCGTAATTGAGTATAAACTGAAATTTCTCGGTACAGAAAACTAAAGTTCCGACCATTTCACGAAGTTCCGACCATTTCCGACCAACTATAGCTAGCGTAGGGTGTTTTTTTACCGATTTTGACAAGCTCGATTTTACCGATTTTGTCATATTCATGTTTTTCGCTAACAAAAGCTGCTAACGAGAAATTTCGAAAAAACGTTTTAGTTTTTCAATGTTACTTATTATTTGATATGTGACCTTGAATCAGAGTGTTTGGAACTTTCTGTTTTACTTGAACATCAACCGGCTATCTTTGTTCTTAAGATGTATTTTCTTTCAGAATTCGCGTCTTGACTAACAGCGCTTAAAAGTTTTACCACACGATTCCATCAGAGCATTTTACGAGGTTCCTAAATCGTGGGAAGTACTTGTTACGCTTGCGAGTAGCAAGGGTTATCAAATCGGAATGTAGACTTTTTTTCGTAGACTTTGTATTTTAGAGCGTATTTTTCTAAATTTGATCAGTTTAACCGATACAACCCTCGCATATCTGAGATTTAGGGTACAATATATGGCCCTCGGAAAAGTACTGGGTTTTGGTTTCAATCAAAATTACATGTTGGGTGAATCTTTTCTGCAAAAGCGGCAACGCCCAAGTTTTTTAAAGAAAAGTCTATGGTTCTCGGATATGTCAATTTTCGGATGTCAACTTTTTCAAAATTTTTTACCCTTCTTCATTTTATTAGAGAATTCTCATAAGCTTTCGCTCAAAGTCCAATTTTTGAAATTACGCGTTGTCCCGCATCAGTTTAACAAATTCAAGAAATGCCAATAGTTGGGTCCTAGGTGTCCTTCATCGATCGACATGCATAAATTTGGTTCACCAAATTTTCACATTTTTTCTTCTTTTTGCTATGGTTTTTTCATGATTGTGCTGTATCGCAAGTGCCTTATTTTGTAACCATAAATTAGGTAAGACCTATGGCGGGAAGAGTACGGAAATTGCGAGATCACGTTGCGGCTGTTGCTGTGCGCCTTATTTCTTTTTTTGTGGTAAACAACAGAAATATCTGTTCTCTGACTTTTCTTTCTTCTATGTTTTTTTTCTATCTCTTTTTACAAAGCCAACTTACTTCAGAGTTTATACTGATGATATCAAATTGACGAAAGGGCTTCAAATTTTCCTAGTTACATTGATTGTTTTCGTTCCAGTTTTGTTATCATGCTGAATTTTTTTCTGAATTTGCTTTCGCCCATAAGTAACATCAAGCAACAAGTGAGGGTAGTTTCTTTTAATATGGAATAATTCAAATAATTATATGGAACAATAAACGGGTCTCAATTCATATTGTAATGAATATCTGAATGCGAATTGATTTAACAGCGACGAAAAGTTACAATTATGCGATTTGCATTATAGGTTAAAAGAGGAAGAGAGCGCGCATTAATTAGTCCATTACTTGGACTATTTGACAATTCCAGCCCCCATAATTTCACGAAAAATGTCGATTGAATTATATTTTGATGTTGTACTTCTCACGTCATTTTTTTGACTAATTCGATTACCGAAATTGTTGTTAATTGAACAACCATTCGAACATTTTTGTTACTTTTTTTTGAGTCGGAACAAGACAGCTTTTTATTTTTATTTTATTACATTTAGTTTTTTCTTGTTATTTCTGATCCATAGACTGCTGTATGAATTGAGGCATGTTAGCTGGCAATTTTTTTTTTCAATCAAATTGACTGGTACTGCTAATGCTTTTCAATTGGCGTGCGTCACTTCAGAAATTTTGTAGACTCAATGATTTACTCGTTCAGTTTTTCCCAGTAGCGTTATCGGTCATATTTTTGCTTGTGTACGCGAATTTCATCTTTGCCTCTTTTTTATATCTAAATTATAAATAAAACTATTACTAAAATTATACTAATTATTGATATTAATGCTGTTTTTTGTTTTCTGGCAAGTGTTTGCAAAGCAGCGCTTCGCCTCTGTGTCAAATATGAAATACTAAATTATATAATTTTTATTTTATCATAGGGATAAGATTGTCTGAACTCAATTGATATTTCACATGTAAGTTAATGCAAATTTTTTCCCATCTTCGAACCCTCGTAACTTAATGGAGATAAAGAGTAGTGGTTAAGCTCCCCGACATCAGCAGCCATTCACAAATTTTTTACACAAAGATTATCCTCCTCGGAAACATTTTTTTTTGTATTTTAGAGCGTTTTTTCTAAGTTTGATCAGTTTAACCGATACAACCCTCGCATATCTGAGATTTAGGGTACAATCTAAAGAATCGGTTGTGGCATGCTCCTTTGCATACGGGACTACGCCCAATTTTGGTTGGCACAAAAATTTATGGCCCTCGGAAAAGTACTGGGGTTTGGTTTCAATCAAAATTACATGTTGGGTGAATCTTTTCTGCAAAAGCGGCAACGCGCAAGTTTTTTTAAAGAAAAGTCAATGATTCTCGGATATGTCAATTTTCTGATGTCAACTTTTTCAAAAGTTTTTACCCTTCTCCTTCATTTTATTAGAGAATTCTCTTAAGCTTTTGCTCAAAGTCCAATTTTTGAAATTACGCGTTGTCCCGCATCAGTATAACAAATTCAAGAAATGCCAATAGTTGGGTCCTAAATGTCCTTCATCGATCGACATGCATAATTTTTGGTTCACCAAATTTTCACATTTTTTCATTTTGTTTTACTATAATTTTTTCATGATTGTGCTGTATCGCAAGTGCCTTATTTTGTAACCATAAATTAGGTAAGACCTATGGCGGGAAGAGTACGGACATTGCGAGATCACGTTGCGGCTGTTGCTGTGCGCCTTATTTCTTTTTTTTTGTGGTAAACAACAGAAATATCTGTTCTCTGACTTTTCTTTCTTCTATGTTTTTTGCTTTTTTCTATCTCTTTTTACAAAGCCAACCTACTTCAGAGTTTATACTGATGATATCAAATTGACGAAAGGGCTTCAAATTTTCCTAGTTACATTGATTGTTTTCGTTCCAATTTTGTTATCATGCTGAATTTTTTTCTGAATTTGCTTTCGACCATAAGTAACATCAAGCAACAAGTGAGGGTAGTTTCTTTTAATATGGAATAATTCAAATAATTATATGGAACAATAAACGGGTCTCAATTCATATTGTAATGAATATTTGAATGCGAATTGATTGAACAGCGACGAAAAGTTACAATTATGCGATGTGCATTATAGGTTAAAAGAGGAAGAGAGCGCGCATTAATTAGTCCATTACTTGGACTATTTGACAATTCCAGCCCCCATAATTTCACGAAAAATGTTGTCGATTGAATTATATTTTGATGTTGTACTTCTGACGTCATTTTTTTTACTAATTCGATTACCGAAATTGTTGTTAATTGAACAACCATTCGAACATTTACTTTTTTTTCTACTTTTTTTCGAGTCGGAACAAGACAGCTTTTTGACTAGTGAACCCCTAAAACCCCCCGATCTGTGCAAAACTGTTTCTCCGCGCTCCAAGGCCACGAACCAACCGTGAGACTCCAAATCTCGAGGTCGCAGGTTCAAGTCGAATATGTACCGAAGTTATAGTAATGATTGTTATTATTACACAAGCAATTCTTGTGTTAAGATGGAAAAAAAAGATAGGCCTTACTATAACACAAGCATTGCTTGTGTAATAATAACAATAATTGCTATAACTTTGGTACATATACGACTTCGAAATTTGGAGTCAATAACCAGCTATTAAGTACAGCCAAGGCTAAGGATATTAACACAGACTGTTATTGTTCCGATTATCGTAACGAAAGTAGTGGATTATTTCTGCTTTTTAATAAGCCATTTTTGACGTGATTTTTTGTATCATTCAAAAAATATTGTTGTTTTGAGCGTTAATTTGGAAAGATATTTCACCTGTGATCATTTTTTGTAAAGTTTTGTCGGTTAAAAAATTGCCATTTTGGCCAATTTGGGACAATTAACACGCGATATATTTCGCGCTATTAACGCGTAAGCGGAGATTTAATCCGTCAATTAAATCGTTGCAAATTGGTTGGAGAAAGCCTTTTAGCCATAATTGATTTGTTACTAGGAGCAAAGTTTATCACATTGTGCTTAATATGGCGTGTGGAATTTTTAAAATTGCGTGTGTAATTTTTATTTTATTACATTTAGTTTTTTCTTGTTATTGCTGATCCATAGACTGCTGTATAAATTGAGGCATGTTAGCTGGCAAATTTATTTGTTTTAAAATCAAATTGAGTGTTACTGCTAATGCTTCTCAATTGGCGTGCGTCACTTGAGAAATTTTGTAGACTCAATGATTTACTCGTTCAGTTTTTCCCAGTAGCGTTATCGGTCATATTTTTGCTTGTGTATGCGAATTTCATCTTTGCCTCTTTTTTATATCTTAATTATAACTAAAACTATTACTAAAATTATACTAATTATTGATATCAATGCTGTTTTTTGTTTTCTGGCAAGTGTTTGCAAAGCACAGCTTCGCCTCTGTGTCAAATATGAAATACTAAATTATATTATTTATATTTTATCATAGGAATAAGACTGTCTGAACTCAATTGATAATTCACATGTAAGTTAATGCAAAATTTTTCCCACCTTTGAACCCTGGTAATTTAATTTCGAGAACACACTTCTACTATGCTAGCTCTTTCTCCAACCTAAGCCCTATAGTCTTGTGTCTTTTTTCTTACAGTAGACGCTTAAGCACAATTGGTGATAATTATGTTCATACAGGCAGTTTTGTGCTTTTAAATAGAATGTAAATGTTTGAAATAAGATTATAAATTATAACTGGACTTGCAAGAGCAATCGGGACTTTTTTTTCCGTGAACAATTTTTCTTACTTTTTTTGCCGACATGCTCAATTCGGACAAGCTCAAAGGCTGACATGCTCAATTTCTTGAAAGTTCGAAAAAACTTCTTTTTAATTCATGAGGGGTAGTAAATAATCTTTTCAAGTAATTGAAAAAATGTTTTCGTCCTAATTTGTATCGGCTGATTTTCCTTTCTGCAAATGAAATTTATAATTTCTGATAAGCTGTTCAATCAGTTCTTTTTCAAAGCTGGGGGTTTTTAATTTTGATTTAAACAGTTCTTACTAGAATTGAAAAGTGCTTTTTAGTTTGTAAATTTATGATGAACTCATATTTTCAATAATTTTTTGATTTTTTTTTGGTTGAACTGGATCGGCCTACATAATATCGACTTTGTCAACTTATGTTGCGTAGTTTCACAAGCAATTTTTAAAACATGTTTGCCTGTTTCAGGAGTGATGGGTCGTAAAAATTTTGATATAAAAACTTATAGAGCTCGAATTTTTTTTATGACTACAGTTTCCTTCTCGGCTTAACGAGGCTTGACATAAGATTTTCGCTTTATTTGCTGCGCGGTTATTGATTCTCAATGCTTCTCAATTCTCAATGCTAAGGCTATTTTTCGAGCCTCGTCCGAGACAAAGGTATTAAGTTTTTGTAGATATTTTTTTTTTCGATTTTTTCAAGAAGTAATCTTTTCAAATTTCAGCCCAACTTTTCAAATAACTTTTCAAAATAAATGAGTTCTGATAATGCAATAATTCAATTGTATTGCAAGTGTTGCGAAGCTCAGCTTTGCCTCTTGGTTGAAATTTTCCTGCAGAAGCGAGAAGCGGCATTGCGTTAGTTTTTGGTAAGAAAAGTTGTTCTTAGGAAAATTCCGTACTTTTGTTAGTTTCTGTAAAGTTTTTGGAGAATTCGCAAAATCAGTTTTGTTTCAGCTTTGCAAAATTAGTCCGTGTTGGTCAGAAAAGATCATATATTTTATAATAAGGTAGATCAAATTTTTTGGCTGCGTTAAATTGACACTGCAACCACCCCGAGGTTAGTTAACACCTAATTTCTTCAAAAGATGGTTTTCAAAAAGTTTTTTTAGGGAGTGTCATAGTAAAAAGTGATGAGAAAAAATTGCGTGTTTGGAACTGAGAAACTGGAAACATTTAATAAAATTTGATTTTTTTGTAAAAATTAATTGCGAATCCAATGTGCATCAAAATAATAGTAAATAACAGCGAGTTTTCTCTCAAACAAATTACGGAAATTCCAAAAGCTGCAGTTTATAAATTAAATGAACGGTGAATGTTACGATTTAATTACAAGTCCTGCTAATTAGCGGCATCAGAGCTCTGGTTTCAACATTGAATCGTCCAACTGTGAATTGATTGAACTGGTTGGAAATATTTTCCTGTGTAGATTCAGTGTTTTTCTTGGCAATTTTAACTCAAGAAAGCTGGCATGGGCCAAGCATTACGTTATTTTAAAATCCATTCACCCGTGCTTCGATGGCTAAAAAGTAAGCAAGATTTCGTGACTTTTAATTAAGGATTCATCGAACTTACTTTTCCAGTTTCATATGTCTAATTCCTGCTAGACGATTCTGTAGACGATGAGTTTATATAGAAATGCTAAAACTATTTCCTCACTTGAACAAAAGTTTTCGTCGCAATCAGGCGCCATGGAGCTCTATCAAGTCAGCTTCTAGAATAATTTCTCTTAGAAATTCTCCCGATTTGCAGTTGTCGACTGGAAATTTAGCACGTTTCGCAGATGGGTCAGCGGAAGTCAAAATTGGGGAAACTTCGGTTCTTGCTGTGCTAGTTTGGAAACAATCGGATATAAATTCGTCTTCGTTTCTACCGTTGACAGTTTCGTTCAGACAGCAACTTGCATCACTTGGCCGAATTCCTCTGTCGTTTGATAGACGAGACAGGTTCAATTCGCCATTCGAAATACTGACAAGTAGGCTAATTGACAGGTGTATTCGACCAGTTTTCAAGTCCAATATATCTCCGAATGTGGAGTTGACTTGTTCGGTTCTAAGTGACGACTATGTAAATGATGCAGACGTTGCGGCAGTTAATGCAGCCTCTGCATCTGTCGGTTTGTCGAGTTTGCCCGGTTTCGTCCCGATTGGCGCTGTGCGGGTGGCGGCTGTCCACGAGAAGGGAAACGGCAACACATTCTTGGTCAACCCAACTCGTCAGCAAAGATATGAAAGCGAACTTGATTTGGTGGTCTCCGCGGATGTGAACGGTATGCTTTCGTCTATTTGAACTTTTAAGGATTCTTTGAGAAGATGACGATGTGTTTGTTGCCTGAATTTTGATTTTGGGCATAGTGATAGTGATTGCGTTCTGATCATCTTTGATTTAGGTCTCTTTTATATTTGTTTTTCTCAAATCATGTTGAACTGTTTTCTTACGTTTTTCCCCTATGGAATTCAGGTTCATCGTGCAAAGTCTTTGTTCTTGCATTTAAATAGAAAATGATTTGATCAGTTTGTGTTTCTAAACATGCAGTCACGCGTATGTGGTCTGCAAGTTATGTTCTTTGGTCTACCTTGTACCAGATTCATTGTACCAGATTAGTCAATCCTTTTTGATGGTCGCTGTGTATTTAGGAAACATAACTGCGATTCAGTCTGGATGCAATAAAATACCAAAGGAGCTGTTTGTTGAAGCGCTAAAAGCGGGAACTGATCAAGCTACCCATCTGGCCAATCACATCCACGAGTTCTCACTCAAGCATTCCAAGCCTAAAACTGATCGTCTATCCGGCAAAGCGAACTCTCGAATTAGCTTAACTGAAAAAATCTACAAGATAGCACACGAAAAAATATATGGGGTTTTCAAAGATAATTCTCACGATAAAATGAGTAGAGATGATGCCTTGAAAACAGTTAAAGAAGAAACGCTGGGGGAGATGAAAAGTAAATTTATTTCTGGCAGCCAAAATATTGATTCCCGTTTTGATAATTTGCACCAAGTGTCTGCAAATCTGGAGGCTAATAAAGAAACAAGAGATGATATTTCCAATTTTGATTCGGACTTCATTTCCGTAATCGGGCGTTGTTTGAAGTCTCTCGCTTTCGAGGAAAGAAAAAGATGCGATGGTCGTTCACTCACTGAAATTCGCCATATTGATTGTAAGACGTCAGTCTACCCTGCGTTACATGGTTCGGCTTTGTTCTGTCGTGGTCAGACGCAAGTTTTGTGTCGTCTTTCATTTGATTCTCTCTCGGCCTCCGAACGACTTGATCCGATTTCAGCTTCCATTAAAGGACATTTGAGGAAATATTTCATGCTGCATTATCAGTTCCCACAGTACGCTGTGAACGCTTTTTCGGGTCCGAGGGGAGGAGCCAACCGAAGAGAGCAGGGGCACGGGAACTTGGCTGAAATGGGAATTGCGCCTCTGGTTCCGAAAGATTACAAGTTTGCTATCAGGTAAACGTTAAACGTCTCAGTCGATAATTGCAATGCCTGTCATGGCATCTTTTGGGCAAAAGAATGCGTTCTGATGTTCAGGCAAAGGCGGAACCTAACGCAAACTAAATCGATAGTTAGCCCTTAGTTATTTAAAATAGATGGTCCTCCAATATTGGAGACGAGTTTCAAACTTAGTTTTCATTAATTAACAGTTTATTTGTTCGAAAAGCGTGTCTGCCGGTTGCAATTTATTTAGAAAGCTGCTCAGTTCAGTGAAGTGTGTAGAAGTAGACAATTCTAGATGGGAAATATTTTAAGTTAAAATTCTCCCAGGCATAACTTGCTATTTAGGCTGCTCACTGAAGTATTGGAATCCAACGGGTCATCATCTATGGCCTCAGTGTGTGCTGCGTCTATGGCCCTCATGGACGCAGGAGTGGACATAGAGGAACATGCAGCTGGAGTGGCTATAGGACTATTCACAGAACGACACACAGAGGACGAGACATTGATAGAAAGTCACGAACTGCTAACTGATATTTTAGGTATGCTTATATTCTAGTGATACTTGTTGGCTAGCATTTTCAGTATTTGTTTGGCTCTTTTCCTTCTCCCTCCTGCAATTGCTTACAAGTATTTGTTTTTGTTCATTTAGTTCGGTGTTACAAAAATTGGCCTTCGGACTAATTAGGTCATGTCACCTTGTAAAACCCCTCGTTAAATCATTATATTGATGTTTATGTGAGGTGGGGGATTTAAGTGTAGTAGCCAATAAATGTTACTGAGGCTGGTGTTTCAGGCTTCGAAGATTTCTACGGCGAAATGGACTTCAAAATTGCAGGCACTAAATCAGGTACCATAACAGCTTTGCAATGTGATGTAAAGAAGCACGGCATTCCCCTTCAAATAGCCATCGAAGCTGTAGAGCGGGGGTCTTCAGCTATCTGCGAAATTGTTTCAAGAATGGAACAAGTTATCAGTCATGCGAAAGATGTCTCCAAGTCGCCTAACATGCCCAGGCTTAAAGAGTTCTCATTGCCCAAGTATCAGTTCGGAGCTGTCTTCGGACCTGGTAGAATGAATGTGAAACATTTTGAAGAGCGAGGCTGCAGTTTTGTGACCAAAGATGAAAATACTTTGTCTGTTTTTGCGCCAAATGAGCGCATCTTGTTCGAAGTTTCGCAGTCTTTACAAGAAAAACTGAGTGTCATCAAAGAACCTGTTCTGCAGTTTGGTCAAATTTGTAAGGCAAAAATTGAAGAAATTGTGGAAAAGGGCGTTTATGTTACAATATATGAAGGCCAAACGCCAGTTTTTGTGCCCAATTTTCAACTGGATTCGAAAATGATTTCACATGCGTCTGTTTTGGGATGGACTGTGGGTGAGAATGTGAAGGTGAAATACTTCGGAAGGGATCCGTCCAACGGCAAGATGAGACTGTCCAGGAGGGCTCTGCTAGTGCCGGCAGCAGAAATGACTGCCGTTGATTTTCTTGCGAAGAAAACTTGAACAGAGACTCAATCTGAAGTTTGTTTTTGCAAAGTATCAGTTGGATATCCTGATAATTTAGTCTTTTCTATTCATTTTGTTTCTTTTGAATGCTATCGAAATCTTGTAAGGTTTCAATTCAACACAAATTTGTGCTCGCTGACTGCAAAGATCTACCTGGGATTGAGTACCGGTTTGTAACAAAGGGGAAATTTCAAAATACAACAAAAAGGGAGACCCTTTGGGTTGGCAGGGGGTTGAATTCATGAGAGAGAAGGGGCGTCCCCCCCCCCCTAAACCCGCCCTTGATTCAGATGACCTCAGAGGCAAGGAAAACAGCAAGGAACTTGGTTACTTGTATAGTGTGGGTTATTTAGCTTCAGTGCTTTCTGCTGATTTTACATTAGGGTAGGGGACTTTGATGCGCCATTCGATGAGCGTAAATAGCTTTATGCTTTAGTGTTCCGGGTAGGGTGACGTAAACATTCCGAGTTTCAAAAAATTCCAGCTCAACTTTTTTTATGACAAGTTTGTTTTCAGCGCAGGAGGCTTCTATCCAAGTATCGCCGGCTTAGTTGCCGCTTTGTAATTTTGTATGAATGGCATTACAATGCTAGCGATTATTTTTCTCGGCTTTTCTTCCTCGAATTGGTCCTCATTTGAGACTCGGGTCGATTTTTTTCGTTTCAAATAAATTTTTCGACTAAGTGGGCTCTGCATTTTCTGCAGTCTACCTTGCAATGCTATGTTTGTTTTATTGCGAATAGTGCGGACCAGGGGCGGATCTAGGATTTTCTCGAGGGGGGGGGGCGGATTTTCAAAAAAAATTCGAAAATTTTGACGACCTTTTTTTTTAGGTTGACCAAATTGATTTTTCGAGCTCTCCCAAAGCACTGTTTTGCCCCTATTGTGGCAAATTTTTCTGCGCCGCAGGCAAATTTTTGAAAAACAGTCAAAAAGCCGTCTTTGGGCACTTTATGAAAAATGTTGACAAAAAAATCGCGTTTTTTTGGCGCGCGCTCCGCCTCAGAGTTAGTATTTATTGGCGCCAAAGGCGCCCTTAGAAAAATTTTAGTGTCGGTCGGCCAAAAATGGATTTCTGAAAAAGTATCAAAGGGGGGACCCTTTGGGTCGGCAGGGGGTCGAATCCCTGAGGGGGGGGGGGGCGTCCGCCCCTGGTGCAGACTCCACTTTGCCTGTGTTTGTTTTTAAATCAGAGACTGACAATTTTAATGGTTCTCACGTGGTTCTCAGTGAGTTTTGTTTCAGGTATTCAAAATTAGCTCGAAAGACCCATCCCTCTGCCGTAGATTTATCCCAATTTACGATAATGCTCCCAGCCCGATCATGTTCATCTAAAATTGATTACTTTAAAAGCTGTTTCCATATCGAATTAATTCTAAAGCGTGAATGAAATATACATTTTCCCAAAAGCTGTTGAAGTTAGTGTGAAGGATGCGGCGGCTTTGGTTGCATATTTAAAACAATACCCTTTATCAAGCGTCCTATCAGTTTTCATGTATATATTTTTCTCGGAGCGATTGCCGGAGAAAAATATCAGAACAAAAGGCTCAAAAAATTGCTTTGTTTTTACTATATTGAATTACTACGTAGGAGAGATTAAACACTGAATCTGAGTGTTATATTGTGTTTAATGGTTTGTGTTGCCAATCAAAAATCTCTGCTTTTCTCAAAAACCTCGGAAAGTCAGTTTCAAATTCAAAAACATCGTGCACTTTCGCGCTGTTGAAGAAGTGTTTAGTTTTCACTGCTTTGAAATATTAAAAGTAATTACCTTTTTTCTCTCAAAAATTGACTGATTTTTTATGCTGAATAAAATAATAACTCAGAACTTTTTTTTACCGTTATTGTGCTGGATTGGGTAATCTTCTCCATGGCAGTAAGGTCAGTATTCAAACAATTCAAAATTGGGCTAAAATTGAGAAAGTGGATTCAGGCAAATGGTCTGTGTCAGCTGGCGTGATAATATTTTCACGTAAATGTTATCAAACCAACCTTCAAAGCAGTCTGGTTTAACAAAAAATACATCAAGTGAAGAAATCTCGATAAACCAATGAATAAGTGGAATTAAGAAGTCCGGAATCGTTCCGGCAGCTTTAAGAATAAAAGGGAATGAACTATAGTAGGGTGATTTTTCTTCCCGATTTCGACTACCTCAAGAAAAGTGCGTGATGAGTCAAGTGTGGTATCAGACAAAACATTTTCTGTGGTGATTTGGATTCCAAAAAAAATCCATAAAAATATGTAAGTGTCAAGAAAAATGGTTCGCCTTTTGGTCCCAGTTTCAAGAAATTGGTGGCAACAGTGGCTACTCAAAGTTGTTGAAATCTAAGTTGATCCTACAGCAATTTTGATGTTATTTTAGCTATATTTACTGTTATACTTGCAGTTGTTTAACCCATTAATTACTCTTGAGAAAAAAAATCTTATTTTTCACTCAATAGTGGTCGAATCATTATGCGTTGATTGCGCAATTCTAGGACGACGATCGAAAAAAAATCAGATTCAGTTTACGGAGTATCAAACTGTAAATTAGTTTTCTTTACAATTTACGAACTTAGACAAGAAATGAAAGCACGATATTCAAGTTGGTAACTACTTTTGTGAGAAGTGAGTGAACAGTTTCAGCTGCGCTAAATCTCAATTTTTCAGTTTTTGTGATTCGATTGTAATGCGTACCAATTTCTCCGGCTAATAGACAGAAGTTATAATACTAACTAACTGGCTTACAAAATTTCTAAATCAACAAAAAAAAATAAATAATTTGTCAATTTCTTGATGTTGAGAAAAGAAACGGGGGACGGTTTTCATGCTGGAGGGATCGAGTGCTTGAAAAATTTCAACCAATCAAAATCGCTAGCCGTTTCTAATGGCTAAATGCCTTTCTCACAAAATTGAAGTCAATATTAGCGCAGAATGATAAAAAGAATAAATATGCTAGTTGCAGATATAATAGGTGCAGGTATGATAAATTTAGTTTTCTGTTTTTCCCTTTTTCGTAAATCGGTATCCTAGAAATATTGAAATTGTTCCAATGCGCCTTCGATTTAGCATTAGTTTCATTCATCTGCTCATTATATAATCGGTCAATATTAACACTAATGGCCTGGTTTTATTGCTTACTTTGAGATTGTTGCAATTTTCCTGAGATTTTTGAATACTCAATTCTGATTGGCTGGAAATAAGCCAAATTAAATTTCAAGCTTTCGGTCCCTCGAGCATGAGGGAAGCCACCAAAAAAAAACTCATTTACGAAACGGTTTCAAGTTTCAGTACTTTGTCCAGCTATCTGCACTTCTGGAAGATTCCGTCTCGAGATTTAAGTTATCTTGATAGAAATTCGGTATCTTGATAGAATTTCGGTACAATCGTGTCTCTAGAAGATTTTACAGCAACTTATCTGAAATACAAATTTAACCAAAAATAGTTTAAAATTGATTGGTTTTTCAGCTACAAAACTAGGAAAAGTTTGAGAATGAGCTTTGAATAAACAGCAGGTTAAAATGCAGAAGACAACATTGAAATGATGCATGATGCAAAGTAAAAAAATCTTCGTTGGTTCTTTATTCAAAAGTAGGTTTATTAGCTTAAGATCGAGAACAACATTCAACAGCAGATTGACCTTAAAATTCAGTGATGTTTATTTGGTTATTTAATACTAACAACTTTTCTTTATTTTACCAGACCGCTTTTTTTCAAAGTACCTCACTCGCTTCATTGCACAGTTATCTAATAGAATCTCTTAATAGCATAAACTATTTCCTGTAATTTACATTTTATAAAATTTTGTTAGTTCTATTTTGTAGTAATGATTTTGATTAATTGTTTTCGCAAAAGCGTTTTAGTTTTAGTTTAGTTATTTTTAAGAGTTACTCACACTTGAGTACCTCGTGGCAAAAATAGTGATGTGGTCACAAAGCGTGGATGTAGCTCGGTGGGTTAGGCCGGCTATAGAGCATGCTCAGGACGTCCTCTCTGGTGGGTTCGGCCAGGAAGGGGAGTATGATTTCGTGCTGGTTTTTTAAGGGGTCCTGTTTTGTGTTAACTTTTTTGTTATAATATTTGTTTGTTTTCCTTTTGTTTCGTTGATTGTGTCCTTTTCTCAAAAATCAAATAGTAGGGTGAGTTTTCTTCCCGATTTCGACTACCTTAAGAAAAACGCGTGATGAGTCAAGTGTGGTATCAGATAAATCATTTTCTGTGGTGATTTGGATTCCAAAAAAAATCTATAAAAATGTGTAAGTGTCAAGAAAAATGGTTCGCCTTTTGGTCCCAGTTTCAAGAAATTGGTGGCAACAGTGGCTACTCAAAGTTGTTGAAATTTAAGTTGATCTTACAGCAATTTTGATGTTATTTTAGCTCGAAGCATTCTGCGTTGATTGCGCAATTCTAGGACGACGATCGAAAAAAAAATCAGATTCAGTTTACGGAATATCAAACTGTAAATTAGTTTTCTTTACAATTTACGAACTTCGACAAGAAATGAAAGCGCGATATTCAAGTTGATAACTACTTTTGTGAGAAGTGAGTGAACAGTTTCAGCTGCGCTAAATCTCAATTTTTCAATTTTTGTGATTCGATTGTAATGCGTACCAATTTCTCCGGCTAATAGACAGAAGTTATAATACTAACTAACTGGCTTACAAAATTTCTAAATCAACAAAAAACTAAGAATAGGTTGTCAATTTCTTGATGTTGAGAAAAGAAACGGGGGACGGTTCTCATGCTGGAGGGATCGAGTGCTTGAAAAATTTCAACCAAACAAAATCGCTAGCCGTTTCTAATGGCTAAATGCCTTTCTCACAAAATTGAAGCCAATATTAGCAGAGAATGATAATATAATAAATATACTAGTTGCAGATATAATAAGTGCAGGTATGATAAATTTAGTTTTTTGTTTTTCCCTTTTTCGTAAATCGGTATCCTAGAAATATTGAAATTGTTCCAATGCGCCTTCGATTTAGCATTAGTTTCTTTCATCTGATTATTATATAATCGGTCAATATTAACACTAATGGCCTGGTTTTATTGCTTACTTTGAGATTGTTGCAATTTTCCTGAGATTTTGGAATAC